CCCCCGCCTTTCTTAAACAGCTTAAGTCCCCCTTCTGTTTCTGTCTGGCACAGAACCTCTGAGCTCCACTCCCTCTTCTTAAGGAAATCAGCCAGGCCTCAGATGGAGCTGTTGTCCTGACAACCCACAGGCTCCTCAGGCTTCACTGAGGCTGTCTGCTGCTAAAGGGGGCAGTTGTGCAGAGCGAGGGGCCACGCGGAAGGAGGGGGAGGGGATGACGTGGAGGGGCTGTTGGCCACCGGCAGGGTAGGGGGGAGGTGCGGAGTGGAGAGGGAGCCAGGACTGGAGCCTGGAACAGGAAAGGGAGGAGGGGAGAGACTCGGGCTGCTTCTGGGGGCTCCTGCGTGGCTGTTTCTTTACACTCACTGGCAGACTCGGGCCGGCTCCCTCCCGCCTGGGAAAGTGGGTTACCGGGAGAAGGCGCTCAGCCCCGGCGCTGGCAGAGGAGCATCCAGCTACAGAGAGACCAGGGAAGCACCGCTGCATTTGGCAGTCTTCTCTGCATCTTTTAAAGAGGGTTTTCTGTTCCTGCAGTCCTTTTACAAATTTTGTTCCTTCGACTTTCTCCCTCACCCCCGCTTGGGTTTTTAGGAGGGCTTTGTTAAGACTTAGAGGGAAAAGAGACTGAGCGAGGGAAAGAGAGGCGAAGTGGGAAGGAGCACAAACTGGAACACTGCGCGCCCCGGTCCGTAGAGCCCTCTCTCCGCGGAGCAGCGCGCCCTCCGGAGCCCAGCTCGGACTGACCTCCTTGCGGCCACCATGGTCGGAAGAGTGCAGCCGGATCGGAAACAGTTGCCTCTGGTCCTACTGAGATTGCTCTGCCTTCTCCCCACAGGACTGCCCGTTCGAAGCGTGGATTTTAACCGAGGCACAGACAACATCACCGTGAGGCAGGGGGACACGGCCATCCTCAGGTAGGGCTTTCGAGCAACTTTTCTTTCGTGTGTGTGTGTGTGTGTGTGTGTGTGTGTGTGTGTGTGTGTGTGTGTGCGCGCGCCCCGCATATGTGAGCGCCTGATCTCCATGCTGCAGGCTTTTGGTGTGTGTGTGTCTGTCCCTTTCACTGAGTGGTGGACGTACAGCCAACAAAATTCAAGGTAATTCTGGTTCCTGTCAAGTGTCAGTGGTGCTGGTGAAATGTTGTTTGATTCTTTGGACGTTGTTTCTCTGGTCATGGGAGCGTAACTTCACCTATGGCATTAAGTAGCATTTGGGCAGTATTCTTGCTTTTGTAAAGATGCTTTGCACTTTAGAGTTTTGTTGAGGTTCCTTAATTCAGAGAGAAGAGTTCTTAGATTATGGCTCACAAACAGTGGTACATATACTGCATTCTCCTTGCCCCTCCCCTGTGTGTGTTTATGTGTGTGTGTGTGTGTGTGTGTGTGTGTGCGCGCACCTGCACACATCAAAGCTCTCTCTCACACTGTCTTAGCAGTAGTTCTGATAGAGGACTTTTTGTAAAGATCTTCTAATTGATGCTGAGGGCAATAAATCAATCTTAGAACTTTGGTTGGTTGCTGAGCCTTTTCTGGAATGTGGCTAGAAATCAACACCAGAATGGAGACCGGAAGAAGAAAAGGATTTTGCCTAATTTGTGGCATTTAAGAATAGGAGTGTTAGGCTCAGAGGTTGGAAAAGAATTAACCTGGAATAAAATGAATATTTCAAATTGATTATTGACTTCAAAGTCTTATTTCTGTGCAGGTCTGCCAAACTCTGAAATATAATTCTGGATTAGATTTTAGAAAGGGAAAGTCCCAAGTCCTTGGGAGTTTGACCCCTGCAAGGAACAGTGAGCCAGAGAGACATAAATGGCACCTAGTCATAATTCCGTCCCTAAGAAGCACACTTCTTTTCCTGTGTTTCTCTCCCCGCCTTGACTTCCCAGCTTTCCTTGATTTTCTGGTAGATAATAATAATAAAAACAGAAAAAAAGCAGTAAGAAAGAAAACACTGTCCTTGGAGAGCTCTTAAAATATCATTTCTTCCAAATAAAATGACCCAGTGTCGGTTTGTCTATCTAGCTAATATTGCTGGCAGTGGCAATAAAAAACAGTATGCAATAGAAAATAAACCTCTAATCTGTGTTCAAGAAGCTGATAGTGCATAAACCCTGGGGCATCAGGGAGCAGTTCTGTAGCAGAGCTGCCTACAGCAGCAAAGTTTTCTTTTCTTTTCTCAGAAATAAATTTGGTTGGCTGTCATGGAGTGTCCTGCTTTGGGATCTCTAGCCTTGTTAGAGAGAATAGTGTGTGGTGTGGTATGTGTCATGTATATTGTATCTATGTTGTTCCCGATTGCAAAAAGTAAGAGGATGCTAATCTGTTAAGTGCTCCTTTCTTCATTTCCTGAGCAATTGGTTGATTATGAATCCCAAAGATCCTGATATACAAAGTAGAATTTTTCCTTGTAGCTCTCCAACCTTGTAAACCTACATGGTGATTTATCCACATGGAGTAATAAGATTTATAGAGTAATTTATCTATTTGCAAAGGGATTTGGATATAATGCAGAAAATGTTTTTGCAAATACTCAAGAATGCCATCTCAACTGCTAACATTCATATGACTAACATCATTAACTCTTTACTAGGAAAGCACTCTATATTGATTTATGCTATCTCTAGAAATTTGGGAGATTATAAGGCTGAATGTAAAAGTGAATATTCCAAATATATGTTTTTTATTGAAATGTCTGTGAAGTTTTTAAACTCTAAGTCAGCATCATTTATATCTTGTCACAGTAATCTAAGATTTAACTAAGCATGTAAATATTAATTCAGAAGAATAAAGGTATCTTTGCACTTTCACCTACTTGGATAGAAGTCTATGTCTAAGAGAGGTGGTTTGTATATGACACAGATGTGTAATCTGTATATAATAACAACATACTTCTGCATATGTGTGGCTCAAAAGAAATGGGGTTTTTACAGAATTATATGTTAGTAGAAATTACAATGTAGAAAAGGAGGTGGTAATAAAAGGAAATAAATAAATATAGAACGAGGTTTTCCCTGGGAAAGAGAAGACAAACAGAGCATGTAAATAAGGCACCTATGAGAGTCCCTTGCTTGTTGAGCCCTCACCTAACATGCCCTCTTTTTTATTTTCTCTGCCTTGAACAGGCTCTATTTTGGGGTTGGTAGAACTCTATCAGAGGGAACTATGGGGAGAGTTCCCTTTGTTTTCTTAGCTGGCCTTCTTCTCAATCTCTTTAACTGAATCCAATAAGCTTTGTGGGTCAGTTTCCTGGTGAAGAATGGTACTCTTGCTTTCTGTTTGCAAGTCTAGCCTGGGAAAGGCATGCTTCCACTTTATTTGTGACACTTGCTGGGAGTGTAGCCTTCAGGGGAGGAGAGGAAGGAGAACTTGATTCATCGGAAGCCACAGTAGATGTTTGGCACAAAGAAAGTGAAATGGCAAAGAGAGAAAAGTCCTCTCTCAGTGAGTTTGTGGCCCTGAATAATCTGAAATGGCAAGAGGAGACAAGGGAGGTTTGTCCTTCTGTGGTCCAGGGACAGAGTTTGGTCAGCTCATCTCCAAAACAGTTGCCTTCGCTGCCTTGCTTCCATGAAACAAGTGCGTTTTTTTAGGTAATTATGCTCTTTGGTATAATTGAGCATCATGATAGGAAAGTGTACTTTAGTCTTGCTTGTCAATTTCTATCTGTTTGAAAAAGAATAAAGACAACAGAAGTATGGTGACAAAACTTGAGGGAAAGAAACAGACAGCCTATTGTGTGCATAGCTAATGTTATTGTTTTTCAGGGAAGAATCTAGATCTTTATGAAGAATTTGTAAAAAGCCATTGAAAACCACAGCACCCTTCCCCAAGGACAAAGAATCAAAGTGTGATAAACAATCAGTAACTGCTGAACCTTCCTAGGTGCTCCTATTGGGCTCCTTCCTAGGTAGAATGAACTGGAATCTCTGCATTTACATTTGTATACACAGGAAAGTAGGCAAGGAATTTATCCATAGGATTTTACTCAAAATAGAGCCTCTCCCATGTTCTCTCAATAGCACACATCTACCTCATAATCACACCCACAAGAACAGCCTTTCACTGCTTACTGGACATGTTTCTAGCACTGGTTCTTTTAACTCTCTAGACCTGCACACTAACACTAGTGAGATTTTCCTCCTGCTTAATCATGAAGGATTAAGACCAAGTAGCCCTCTTGATAAGTCAAAGATAAATGGAAATAGGTAGTATTCTAAACCAGACTTTAAAATTTAGTCTTTAATGGTCTCACTGACCATATTTTCAATATTAGTAGCATATAAAAGGGTAGGTATTATAAAATATTTTAACTCAAAGAACCATACTGATTACATATGCATTACATTATCTTAAATCTATTCTTAATGTTACTCTGTAAATATTACATATACATGTCTATCTGAA